AGCCAAAAGTTGCTCATTTGCGAGTTTTTGGGAGCATCGCATATGCACATGTGTCAGATGAGAAGAGGTCTAAGCTTGATGACAAAAGTGAGAGGTATGTCTTCATTGGCTATGATCAAAGTTCTAAAGGTTATAAATTGTATAACCCCAAAAAATGGCAAGGTCACCATAAGTAGAGATGTTGAGTTTGATAAAGATAATGCTTGGGAGTGGAAATCTAAAGAGCAAGATTACTCTTTTAGTCCATTCTTTGAAGATGATGAAGAAGAAGATAGGGAGCAGGCTATCACACCACCTTCAACACCTCCGCCACAAGATCAAGAAGTTGGGGAATCAAGCTCAAGTTCAAGTGAAGCACCTCACAAGAGTAGAAGTCTCTGTGACTTGTATGAAAATACGGAAGTGGTGAGAAATGACTTATATGATGTTACTCATTTTTATTTGCTGGTGGACAGTGAGCCTCTAAGCTTTGAAGATGCTTGTCAAAATTCCAAATGGAGGGATGCAATGGATGAAGAAATCAAAGCTATAAAAAAGAATGATACATGGGAGTTGGTCACACTTCCCAAATGCAAAAACACCATTGGAGTCAAATGGGTGTACAAGCTAAAGAAGAATTTCAAGGGAGAAATAGAAAGGTACAAAGCAAGATTGGTAGCTAAAGGCTACAAGGAAAATGCCGGTATTGACTATGATGAAGTATTTGCGCCGGTTGCTCGTTTGGAAAAAATTCGCTTTGTCATTGCTTTGGCGGCACAAAATCAATGAAAAATCCATCAAATGGATGTGAAGTCGGCTTTCTTGAATGGCCTATTGGAGGAAGAGGTCTATATTGATCAACCTTCGGGATATAAGGTTGAAGGACAAGAAGATAAAGTCTTGAAATTAAAGAAGGCTTTATATGGGTTGGAGCAAGCTATAAGCCCCGCGAGCTTGGAATAGTAGAATTGACAAATATTTCCAAGCAAATGGTTTTTCTAAGTGTCCATATGAACATGCCCTCTATGTAAAGATTGCCAAAAATGGTGACATCTTACTTGTTTGCTTGTATGTAGATGACTTGATATTTACAGAAAATAATCCAAAGATGCTTGAAGAATTCAAGAAAGCAATGGCTAGAGAATTTGAGATGACGGACATCGGCCTAATGTCCTACTATCTTGGAATTCAAGTAGCACAGAGGAAGGATGTCATTTTTATTTCTCAAGCAGAGTATGCAAAGGAAATTCTCAAGAAATTTGAGATGGAGAATTGCAATCCCGTAAGCACCCCCGTTGAATGTGGAGTTAAAATATCCAAGCATGGAGATGGAGATAGAGTCAATCCCACATTTTTCAAGAGTCTTATTGGAAGCTTAAGGTATTTGTCGTGTACAAGGCCGGATATTCTTTTTGGAGTTGGACTCCTGAGTCGCTTTATGGAAACTCCTACTACCTCGCACTTAATGATAGCCAAAAGAATACTTCGGTACATCAAAGGTACGCTTCATTTTGGAATTCTTTATTCATCTTCTAAAGAATCCAAGTTCGTGGGATATTGTGATAGTGACTGGGCTGGTGATATTGATGATCGGAAAAGTACTACTGGGTTTGTTTTCTTTTTTGAAAATTCCGCATTTGCATGGAATTCTAAGAAGCAACCAATTGTGACTTTGTCAACTTGTGAAGCGGAGTATGTAGCGGCTTGTTCGTGTGTTTGCCATGCAATTTGCTAAGGAGCTTGTTGGAAGAACTTCGCCAACCACAGAAGGATGCTACAAAGATTTTTGTTGACAACGAATCGGCTATAGATTTAACCAAGAACCCGGTATTTCATGAAAGAAGCAAGCATATCGATACGAGATATCATTTTATTAGAGATTGCATATCTAATAAAGTTGTGGAGCTTGAGCATATGAAGTCTGGAGATCAAATTGCGGATATTTTCACCAAGCCTTTGAAGATTGACGCTTTTCAAAAGTTAAGGATGGCGCTTGGAGTAATGAGGGGGATGTTAAAAATAGTAATAAACTTGTTTCCATTTGTCCACATTTGTTTAGATTTGTTTACATTAATTTAATATTTTCATACATATAGTTAGAAAAGAGTGAGGTGTGGACATGTGTGAATTTGTGTGAACTAGTGTAGCCATGTATGGACTAGTGTGTACATGTGTGAATTTGTGTGAACTAGTGTAGGCATGTATGGACTAGTGTGTACATGTGTGGACTTAATTAATATGTACACATGAAGTTTAGGCTAGATACATGTAGAAGTTCTATTATAAATACCCATGTATGCTAGCCATTTGGAGCAAGGGAAGTTGAATAGAAATCATCATTTCCTCCACCTCTCTAATAGTGAGTTTTGAGTGTTTGTTTATAGTTATCTTGCTCTCCCAAAAATTTCTAACACCGTGGCCCTAACTCAGCTAATAAAGTTTTCCGGTTCTATGCATTCAAAAGCGACATCAAATGAGAGAAGGATAATGAAAGATCTTTTATTGACTCTGATCTCTGTGTTCTTGGCTCAAATAAGAAAGAAGTATACCCTTGTTACACGTTTGCCTCAACTTGGGCATTTTATTCTTAGATATCTTACCGCCATTTTCAGTAGAATCATTGGATATATATAATGATGAGACTTTATATATTACAATTGCAGGGAAAAGGAGGTTGAAACTAGTGATTTTCTGGAAGCAGCAAAAGCTTGTTTAAAAATCTGCAGAGTTCATGGTGTTCCTCTGCTGATCAATGACAGGATTGATGTAGCTCTTGCTAGTGATGCTGATGGTGTTCATATTGGGCAGTCCGACATGCCTGCTCATGTTGCACGGGCTCTTCTTGGGCCTGACAAAATCATTGGTGTATCATGCAAAACACCGGAGCACGCCCTGCAAGCATGGATAGATGGGGCTGATTACATTGGCTCTGGGGTGTATATCCAACCAATACCAAAGAG